GGGGGGGGGGGGGGGGGGGGGTCAAAATCCTTTCCCCATGCGGTTACAAGCCCGGTGTAACAGGGGAAAAATTTTAGTCCGGTTCCGGTGTATACCTGTAGAAGATGCTGATTACAATATAACAAAATGTGCATGTAGCAGGGTTCACAGCTTGCGGTCAGATATTCACCCGTTCTCATTTCAAATGACACAAAATAGCACTGTCAAACAAAAAAAAAATAATAATAATAAAATAGAAATAAAAAAGAATCAGAACCAGTTAATAATTTGACTGTTCTTAAAAGTTCAATCGCCCTACTGTAGGAGGGGGGGTAATGGAAATACACTCTTATAACGTCCAATAAGGACAAACAGCTCGTGGTTGTGCATGCCACGAGCTTGTTAAGGTTCTTAATTTAGCACGCAATAGCTCAATAACATCCGCAACCGAACGTCTTCCTCTATCAGCGTCAAGACATAGCAGGGAGAATGATATCTTGGCAAGTTCTGTTGTTTATTGCCGGTGCATTGTACACTGTCCGTACTGTCGAACTCTTCGCTGGTTTTCCTGGGCCTGGATTTCATGAACCATACACAAAACACCAGAACTGCTTACAAGGCAGTACTCAAAATGTGCATATCTAAGTTCTTTCTAGCTTCTTATTCACACACACACACAACACACACACACACACACACACACACAAATTAAGCAACGACAGTCTGTCAAAAATAATACTAAGAATACGCGTAAGTGAGTAGAAACTAACTTTAACGCCTCTGCAAAAGAGGTAATTAACATTTTTACATATTGAGATATTAAGATCCAAAGTTTTAATTTCAATCCATTTGACTACGCTGCCGGCCATTTAAATAAAGTGACTACGACACGTCAGCAAAATTTGTAATGGAATTATCAAAAACACGGCACGATCAAGCACCCTTGTAAATTCAGAGTTTCTTAATAGTCTTCGTCATATTGGAACTGAGAGCGTGTTTTACGAACGCCCCCTTGCATTAATGAGGCTTCCTTAACTTAGTAACGTAAGGCCACATAAGGTGAAACGGAACTGAATATGTTGATGTGACCCCTTGCTTGTGTCAAGCTCCTGTAATCAACTGTAGACACATTTAAAACCGCGCTGATTGGTACAGTGACACAGATAAAATTCGGTTTCATAAAAAAGCCTACCTGTTTGTGTGAGATAATACTCTGTCACCCGAGCAATACATAACAGAATACACTTTACTACGACGTGTTCAAGACATAGCGCAAGAGAAGAGCAGTGTATTATATATCAGACATACATATCGCAAAAGAACTCGCATTTCGCCCAAAAATCCCTAAAACTGAATAAAGCGTATATCGCCACGGTCGCATGACATTTTTGAATAGGTATCTATACGCACATATCACGATTCACGCCACAAATCTCTCTAAATCAACTGGCCCCTACCATCTGATAATACTGCCGTACGGGGTAGCCTTGGTAAAAATTACCGTATGATTTTGCATCAATAAGTATGAAATCGAAATATCTCTCACCGTTCACAACTCAGGGATACATATATACATGTAGGCCTACCAGTGCCGTCCATTGTGCCGGACTCCAAATCGTTGATCTCGGTGTAAATATGTACGCGCTAGTAAAACGACGGAAGCTCCTCTAGTTATCATAGGCTTACAACACGCATTGTAAACTGATCTTCCCCAAATGCGTTCTATTTTTAGGGAGAGTATTGTGTGTTAGTGAATATACTTTTTATTGTGAAAGTCGTCGAGAAATGAGAAGTGTCTTCTTCCGACTGAACATGAGTCGTCAAGTACTCGCTTATAAGGGTCAAAGGTCACCAAAGGATGGTTTCAACGGGGCGGTATAAGATATAGATTTATTATGACAGTACCAATTTCAAATTTTATCAACATGCAATAAAAAAATGCATAGTTCGTGTAAATATCTGTTTGCATTTCAACTTAAATTCGATTGATTTGGTAATATTACATAAAATTGATGATGGTAATATTACAACAAAATAACCCAGGCACGCAATAATACATGTATAGGCACCCAGTGAACGCACTTTCACCGACGCGCTCAAGTTCACAGCTTTTAAAACCAGGACCACTATTGGGCCTGAAAGTTCATTAAAACTATATTAATTAAAGCAATAATAACTCTTCCTTTGAGATTCAAAATTCCGCAAGAAATACATTGTAAACAACGCCTGGAAATATATACTATTGCATTTTCCCACCAAAACGACTGTTATTGTAGTAAAACTAAAATCTGTGCTTGTCACTTGGGCTTTCGATGCCTTTTTTCGTGGTCGACAAGTGCATCCGTTGCCAATGACGTTTAGGTATCACGCGGATTCTCGCGTTCATTCGAGACCAAATTAACACGGCGGGAAACCCTCAGACGTAAGTTGCGAGTTTTTGTACAGTGCGTCGGATAACGAAAAGCCAGGAATTGCACACATTGTAGATATAAATGCATTTTGAGCAAAAAGACGAATGTATCTTATGAATCTTATAATATTGTTATATAGTGTTGTTGTTGTCTGCTTTTCCCGCGGTTTTAAGTAGGTCACCAGAAACTATCGCTCGATACGAGAGGGATCCGTCAGTTAAAATCTCTTAAGAGATTTTAACAAAAAACCGTACGTTTAGGAAAAAAACCCTGGATTAACTTTGAATGCAGGAATGGGGTCGTTGACCATTGGTAAGTACGGGAAAATTGCCGTTTTTTCCAGGAAAATCGTATTTTTGGCCAAAACGAAGAGTTATTATGACTTTAAATAAGTTACATAACAATAATAATGGTAACTGCATTTACTTAAACAAAGTACATCAACACGTATGTGAATGAATTGCAACGCTTAAGATGCAGGTAGCAATATAACTAAGCGCAGCTGATCAAAAGCGTCAAACACGCGCAGGTTCGTAGGAAGGGGAAGGATTTTAAAAGAAGCTCCCTTTAGATCGAGATAAGGTCCGCTCTCAATCAAATTTTTGATCTAGGGTAAGCTATATCGGTCACCAAATTTCGATTTTCAAGAAATGTGTGATAAATAAATAAAAGTAAAAATAAAATAAAAAGGGAATCCCTCCGTCCCTATTCGAAATTTCTAGTTGAGGGCCTGCGGCACATAACAAGGACAAGTGTACCGACAGAGTAATTTGTTGTAAACTGGGGCGCTGTAATCGCGTTAAAGAAAAAGAATATCTATTGGCGTTTTGCACAAACCTTTTTGACACACACCCAACTCGTTAACACAATAGGCGGTAATCAAGGTCACGTGTGTCACTGGTAAAGGGGTGGATATAGTCAGGTACAAAGTAGCGTTTGGCACTTGCTTTATTGTATGTAAACTGTGAGATGTTAAAAAAAAACAACACAAAGTGATGTTGGGTCCATAAGGTGACTTCATTTATTACTTCTTTGAGGGGTGGATATACTCAGGTACAAAGTACCGATTGGCACTTGTATAATTGTAGGTTACCTGTGATATGTTTACGCTAAAAAAACACGAAAAGTGATGCTGGAGCCAATGAGGTGACTTGATTTTTTTACTTCCTTGATTAATTAGATAAAAATATGCACGAAGTTAAACCGCATGACACAATTCACCGTTAAGTTAGACATGCAATAAATAATAGGCAAGGGTTCAGGTAGATCGCCTTATCTGTTACTCTCTAGGTATTGGCATGTTAAAATCCATTGCTGTTATTTTAAGGGAAAGAAAGAAAGCACCCAATCTCCATTTATACGAATGTAACGATGAAGTGACCTCAGAAACGCCATCCTCTATCTATCTGTTATTCTGTCTGTCTGTCTGCTTGTCAATCTATCCTCATGTATCTACATGTAGGCTATGTACCTTTGCTATACTTGGATAAGCCTCACTGAATGTCATTAAAGCATATTCTTTTTTAATATTGACATTCATCAGACTAAATTATTTTCATAATATAATATCAGTGTTCACAATGAGTGCAGAAGAATTAAATTAGATCACATGAATTTGGAAGATGGTAAAGAAAAACATTAATTACTAGTATTTCCACTCGGTTGTACCCAACAAACTTATCCAAAATCACAATGTGTCCTTTCTTTATTAAAGATAGTTTAATATTTATATAATAGCCTATACGTCACAAAATATATATATTTCTTAATTGAATCTGACACAGCCCCACCCCCACCCCCTGTAGCGTAACGTAATTAGGCCCTTTTAATATCTGAACATTGGCTGATGCGAACCATTGCGTAACTAAAACAGAAGTTCTGGGAAAAAAAACGAGTTCTGCGAAGTGAGGTGCGCTCTTCACCCTCCATCCATCCACAGTCCATCTTTTGTGTGGTCAACGGACGAGAAAATATACTTCCACCCAGGCACGTTATTTAAGACGTAGTCAACAGTTATAACGACACATCGGTCATGTTAAACAATACAAAGCAATGCGACATACAATGTCATTTTTTCCTCTTTTCTTTCTTTATTTGACGTGATAAGTTACAATCCCAGGAGTCAAACGTACTTACTGGCAGCATTACCATCCATGGTGCCCATGCCATATCATATCTATTTGTATTATTTGGGGACAATTAAGGGGAGAAATTGAAAGAAATTGACACAATTCTTGAAAGATACTTCAGTTAACACAAAAACAACAATGGAAAATAAAATAAAACGAAGTCACCTACCACTCAACTGCTCACTTTGGGGACAGAAATCCTTCTCAAGCAGAATACGTTTTGACACCGCAACACCGAATTTTCTTTGCGACGCCATGTAAACAAGTTGCAACCCGCCTTTACTAGGGGAGTTGTAGAATGCGGATACGGATTTGTTGTATATTTCAAACCCCATTTCCTTTAACAAGGTATGGGTTGTTATTCAAATCGGTGTGTTTGTCCTTAATGCTGAACCTGGTTTTTCACAACAGTGAGGGAAGTTTTTCCGGCAGTTACACGAGATAAAATACCTCATTAGCATTTGCAGACAGGATGAATGGTTTGACAGAGCTAAAAATAGACGAGTATACCAGTTTATTCAAACAAATAAGCAAATAATAAATAATTAACCAAATAAATGCAAAGATGGTGAAACAAACGAATAAACAAGACAGCTAATTTCACGTTAAATATTTGCCAAAATAATTTTTAAAATTGTCAAAGTATGTAATTTTACATGGAAACAATGGCAAATGCCAATGGACTCTAAAATTGACTAAATTTAATGTGGTGTGCGAGTGGACGTCTTGACCCTGTCAGAAAAAAAAAATGAAATTTTAGAACTACCGCGTTCCAAAAATGTTATACTTGTAACAGTGAGGTGAAAGAAAACAGATCGCAAACATATGATTTTTATTTAATAGTAAACATGTTAAAATAGAGCCCTCGCAGCTGCCATAGCGCTGGCATTTCAACTCCTGTCAAGTTATGGCAGATTTATTTTTCAACTTGAACGTTGTGCGACCTGTTCTCATAGGCCGCATACAGATCCGTTTTAACCAGAACAGTTTTGAGGCTAGATCCCGGAAGTGGAGGGCGATATCATGACTGCCATTTATAAGATTATGGAACAGTTGAATTGAGAAATCGTCATAATTGGGTCCAGAATGTCTATGAAGGGCGTAGTTTGAGCTTTAACCCATTATATCTTCAAGGCTGGAGTTTGCTGGGAGTTGTGTTTGCGTGTGTTGAGAGAGAGAGAGAGAGAGAGAGAGAGAGAGAGAGAAAACAGGAGCATTCAAAACCGGTTGATCAGCAGACTAACTAGTACAAAGACCAATGTGGCGCCACTCACTTGAAAGCGTGCCTAGATTTAATTTTTCTGCCGCGCGAAGGAGGCAGGAATCCATTGTCAAGTGCTACACTGTATAGTGCCATATATGACCAACTTGTTCCGAATGTACCCAGAGAGAGAGAGAGAGAGAGAAAGAGCAACCGAACGAATGAAAAATCAGAGACAGACATGGCAGGCAGTGCAAAGATCGACTTCAGATATTCGTTCAATTTCATTTTCAGAATCCATGAATTCAAAATTGTAGTTGTGATATAGTCTATATAGGTTAATAAAAAAAGGTGAAGTACAAAACACAGAGCGATCACTAAGAAAAAATAAATCTAAGCGCAGCATATCTTCACACACAGAAGAAAAGTCATACCTGACATCTAAATAGCATAATTTCGTTTTCTCTTCTTCCTGGTTCGTTTTTTCTTTTTCTTTACACGCCTTATGGATTTGGCTTTGTGTTACAAAAAATCGTTAATTAGAATTTGTGTTAGAAACCATTATACTACAAAACTTAAAACATATGTCCAATAATACATAAAATGCAGTAATAGACAAGCAGTTTAGAACAAGTACATACACACCAGAGCGACTTAGAACAGTAAATTGCAGAAAAAAAGTCCATCAGTCGTGAAAAAAATTGCTCCTCTCATTTCATTCACACTTAACTCAAAGTGAAGAAAAAAAAAACATTTTCTTTTATAGTATTACGTGTTTCGCTATAAATCAGCTATTTGTTTTTGTAACTAGTATTTTGGTTGGCTTGCTTCCAAAAACAAAACTTCACTGAAGAAAACACACTCGACCAAAAATGGTTCGGAAAAGTGAAATTATTTTCAAATAATTAAAAAAAAACTATGCAATGCAGTGGGAACATCTTCAGTGTAAATAAAAAAGGAACGAATGAAGGGTGCATAATTTATCCATTTTTGGTTAAAATATTTACCTTCGATAATACGGTGATTCTATAATTATTCAAAATAATGCTGTTTCTTAACTTTTTGATCACGTGTATAATGCCTCAGTTTTGTAAGCACACTGACCATTTTGGCAGTTAAGGGAACTACAAGTTTTTTTCCCTTATAAAGCGAAGTTTAAAGTAGTCCTCTAATCCATTTATTAAAGCCATATACACAGGTCTGTCATTGTGTTGTGCATGCTCACTACCAAATGCAATAATGCCATGATCACAAAATATTTTCTTTTATTTTAGTCACACTTCACCATATGTCC